CCTTTTCACATTTTTCTCTCATTATCTCTCCCTATTTCTCTCTAACCAAATTGTTATTTTTAGATTATAGTTTTTTTTGCTATTCCACATATTCACCCTTAATAGAAACCCTATTTAATTTAAACCTTGAATAATGTGGCAGTTCTTGAAACAAAAAAACGTTTACAAATAATTTTAGGTCGTGGCTCAAGAAAAAAGAATTCAAAAATTTATTTTAGAATATAATTTTAGAAAGAAAAAAGATATGATAAGAATAAAAGAAGAAAGAAATATCACCAATTTTTTATTTACCGCGTTTCAACTTTTTCTATCACTTTTTTAATCTTTTTAACCATACTTTATATTATTTTTTGATATGATAATTGACAACTTCTGTTTTGTTGTTTTTTTTGGATAAACCGTTAGAATTTTGAATATTTAGCTCATAATCTCTTCGGTATCCAAAATGAGCATTTAGATATTATGATTTAAAGAATAATTTTCCGTACCAAAAAGGGTTTAAATCCGAAGCACAAAAAAACTAACCGCCTTGTGCTACCACTAGACCACCACAAGTTATGTATTGTTGTTACTGCAGTATCATGTGTTTTTTTTTTCTTTTTTCTTAACTTTCGGTATCAAGTTATGATGAGAGAGCAATGTTTTGATTAGCAAGATATTGATTTGCTACGAAACAAAAAAAAAGGGTTTATTTAGCAATTAACTTTCCTAATCTTTCAAGAGAGATCAATGGTTATTACTTGCCTAATTTTTGTTTCTTTGGTTAATGTCCTTAATTCTATCATTATTCACCTTTTTAAAATCCATGCATGTAATAACAATTGATCGCTCCAATGCCACGAATGCATGGGTAGGTACTCTTTAATTTATTTAGGCCAACCATATTGACCAGAGATCCATAACTGATCTCATGGAGATCAAATTTGTTTGAGACTTTTCTTTGTAATATAATAATTCATTTAATGTTCAAAATTTCAGAAGAAAAATTCATTTAATGTTCCCTTTTTACGTAAACCCTAATAAATTTATCATACTAAACATAGAAGTTGCTCTGACCACCCTCTTGGTCTTTCAATCAAATAATGAACATCTTTGTGTTACAAAAATACGACAAGTGCAGTTGATCATATAAATCAATAGTATATATAATTTATTGCTCATAGACGTAATGCACAAAAGGACAAAACAATTTCTTGTTTTTATTTTATGTTTTAAACAACAATTTCTAGTTAAAATAATAGCATTTGTTTATTTTACAACTAAAAACGTTTATTCTCTTCAACTATATATATTACACATGTAGTTTGAAACTTGAGACAACTCCTTTCAATTAATAATTGTATCGTGTGCACACTTTTTCTTAGATTAGCAGTGGCAACTGCAAACCTACCTTTATCTTTTCAATGAATAAGCTATAGCTATTGGTAACGACCAACCACTACAATTTACCATTTTACTCATTACCGATCTTAAATTTAACCAAAAAAATGACCAACCATAAAAGAAAATTCCAAATAACCAAGAAAATGCAAGATGAACTTTTTTGATTTTAAAAAATTGCAGATTAAATCTCCATCTATTTAAAAAAATCATTTTGATCTTCGGTGTTAACATTGTTAAAAAAACTTAACAGAACTCTATAGAATATCGTTTTGATATAAAGTAAAATATATACTATCTTTATCACAGGTTAATTAAAAAGTTTAATGGTTGTAATGCCAAAAGCCAAAATGACGGTTGTTTAATCATTCTCCTAAGTAGGGCCGGCCCTGGGGCAAAGTCCGTGAAAATGATGTATTAGGTACAGGGCTGGTCCTGAAAATACATGGGCCACAAGGGGAAATTTTTTTTGAGCCTATGAATTAACAAACT